AATCTAATCTTAGGATAAAAATGAAAACCCACTGGATGGTCAGTAAGAAGTCGGTTCTGACTCAACGATACATTACAACTAACAATACATATTCTGAGGAGTTCTGAAGGCACAGCCTGTAGTGTGTTGCACTGCTAACTTCCATTTCTAGCAATTCAAATCCACCAGATGCTCCACAGGAGGAGAAATGGGAAATCTACTCCTGCTAAGAATTACAGCCTCAGAAACCCTGATGGTGGGTCACACTGAGTCTGAAATGTCTCAGTGGCAGTGAGCTGGAGTTTTCTGTGTTTACCTCGGAATGGAATGACTCAATGATATGGCAACTCAAACTTTTTAAATAATTGCCCAAGTGTTTTTGAAAGCACTGTACCATTCACTGTCTTATTGCAAAGTATTGTAACAGAATGTGCAAAGAGCTGGAGTTGGAGAATAAAATGGAAAAAATTGAATAACAAATTAAAGCCTTGAGTTGCATACGGAGAGATGCTATGGGCAAAATCTTGAACAATCCAGGAAGGCATCAAAAGAAGATGAAAGAAACACACAGTCACAGTACCAAAAAAGAAATGGTTGACACGTAAAAATTTCAGGAATTAGCATATGAACAATAGCCAAGGGTAATGAAAGAAAAAGTTCAAACTGCACTGAAGGCATTGGCAAAAAATATGGGCCCAAGTGACAACTTTCAAGTAACAAATGCAGCGCTGGATATGTTCACCAGTCTGTGCTAGGAAATTTGGAGGACAAGTGCTTGGCCAATTGACTGGGAAAGGTCTATATTTGTTACCATTCACAAGAAAGGTAATCCAACATAATGTGGAAAGTATTGAACAATATCAATAATATAACATGCAAGCAAAATACTGCTGAATATCCTCCTAAAATGAGGATCCAGAATAGTACATTGACAGAGAGAACTCTTCAAGATGGGTTTAAAAGAGGCTGTGGTCCCATGGGTATCATTGCTGATGCCAGATGGATTCCAGCTGAAAGCACAGAAAACCAGAAGAATGTCTATTTGTGTATATTAACTAGGCAAAGGCATTTGATTATGTGGATCATAATTGTTGAGAATAGGAATCCCAGAACATTTACTTATGCTCATGTGAAACCTATACCTATACCAAGAAGCTGTGTCTGAACAGAGCAATGGAACACATGGCTTAAAATCAGGAAAGGTGTGCATCAAAGTTCTATCCTCTCTCCATACTTATTCAATCTGGATGCTAAGCAAAACATTCTAGAAGCTGGAATCTCTGAAGAAGACTGTGGCATGAGGATCAGAGAAAGATTCATCAACAACTAACTGTAAAATATCTCAACTGAAACTTGATATATGTAGAAATGATAATATTTTTAATATCATGCACAGTGTAACATGGATCAGATGCTCAATAAATGTTAAATAAAACACATTATCAGAGTTAATGTCACTTGTTTTCTTTTTGCTTTGGCTACTAGAAAACGAAAAGTATTTCTGTAGCTCACATTAGATTTCTATTGGCTCATTCTACGTTTTTCCTAAAGCCTGTAGGAGTAATGCCAGGAACCCAGAACACATTCTATAAGTACTGGCTGAATGCATTCAGTTGGACTGCTTGAGAAGGGTCCTTAGACTGAGAATTTGTAGGTACCATTTTCTTCAAGAACCTAAGTATCTGGACAGACCATTAGCCTCAGGGTAAGTGATGGGAATGTGTGAGGCTCGAGTTACTTTAGGCAAATGCTGGGCTCCCAGCTGTATTTACACATTGCTTCAGTGAATAAATACCACTTTAGTTAGGCCAGCCCAAATGTTTATTTCTTTGAAGACACAGTTTTCAAAGTACAAGCACTTGTTTCGCAGTCTGTTTTAGGCAGGCAGATCTACATGATATTAAAATACTTCCTCTGCTCACACGACTTGGAACTTTGGAATGGGACCAATTTATTGGCTTCTAGTTCATGTTTAAAAGTTGCTTCCCAGATTTTTTTTTTCTTTCCAACTTGGGAAATGTGGACAACAAAGGGATTAAAAGGGTTTTTAGGCACTTTGCTAACAGGTCTGCATTCTTTAAAAAGATTCTTTGAAAAAAAAATCTCTTTGATTTTCTGCAATGAGCACGTTATCCCTCTCTTCTTCCACATAATGGTGCTTTGGCATGGAGTCATCAGCAATCTTGACATGCCAGGCCGTATTTAAGTGGTTTTAAAGCCACTTGTAAGCAATTCTAACACTCCAGTCTGGGAGAGCTGAACACTTAAACTCAAGGTGAGTAACTTTAAAAAAAAATAAAAAGGATAGGATGACAATGTGCACTGGAGTATTTTTTTCTTTTGATTAATAACTTCTTTATTCTGTAAAAGCAAATGAAAGTCATAGTCATATAAACCCTGACATTACAAAGTACAAAGAAGGGAGAGGAGGAAACAAAAACCTCTATGTCCTGCTAATACTTTCTCACCAAAAAGACCCATAATGCTTTGTTCCATACTCAATCACTTATATAATAAACCACAAAGAAAAATCTTCTGTGGAAGATATACTCCTCCATTGAGATGGCAGGCAAGAGGGACTGGAAGTTGGAGTAGGAGGCTTTGTTCTTTTGGCAGATCCTCTCAGTCATAGATATTTCTGCACTGTTAATAAAAAATATATGCTTCTCTGCAAAGCAAAAAAAACCAACCCCTCCACGGATGAGATGGCTGAGGCCTCAGCTCAAGTATCTCCAAATGCATTGTTGTCCATTTCCTGACCTCTCCATGTTATTTTTTGGTTGTATTCCGGATCAATACCATTCTCTGTGAGCTTCTGTGGTGCAAGCTTTTTTGTAGGGTCTAATTTCTTCTGAGCCAAAACCTGGGATCCACATGTTCCACCGACGCTCTAGGTGCAGCTGGACATCTTTCACCTCTAAGGCGCTGGACTTGCGAGGCCTGGCAAGCTGTCAGGCTGCTGTCACCACATCCTCGATGAAATCGTCGGCAGTCTGCAGCAGCATCTCCTCTACATCTTCGTCCAACTGTTCATTGGGGTCCACTTCTTTTACCAAGTCCTGCAATTTCTTCTTCATTAATACCTCGTTGTTTTCAGGACTGAGTTGATCTCCTGTGCCAGGAGTGCCTGGTATCTTTACCACAGTAGTGCTACTGGCCATGGAACCTTGTGGAGGGGTGCTGGCTGGTTCTAGTTTTATGGATGAGAAATTGGAGAGGTTGATTAGGGCTAAGGAGCCAAACTGGTTCATAATCTGCCGTGCTTTGTACTTCAGCTCATAGAGTTTATCAAGACCCTGTTTCTTTTTAGAGCTGTGAGGGCCAAGGCCAATCAAAGACAGCAGCGTCTATCTCCCCATGATATGTGGAGACTGTCCCAGTGAAGCGTTCATCTCAGCAGCCGGTCTGACTCTTTACTGGAGTATTTTAAAGGGCTTTGATCCTCTATCTATCTATCTATCTATCTATCTATCTATCTATCTATCATCTATCTACCTACCTATCAAAGAATACATTGAGTGATTTACTATAGTGTCCATAAAAACATGAATCGTCTCATTCCTATGTCATTCAGATATACAAGGTGCACCTCAAATTTCCTCTGCAAGTAGTAATAAGAGGAACAGTTTGTTGTCCTGAGCTGTACTACAGCTTGCGGGGTGAGTGCTAAGGGACGTGGAATGAACAGCACCTCATCCAAACAGTGGAATTATGGAGCATTGTCAGCGTTTCATTCTAGTCATAATATTTAATTCTTCTGTGCTACCAAAGTATTTTTCAAAAGCTATAGAATAAACTACTTAAGATTGACCTCAGAAATTATTTCTATGGTTAGGAGAAAAGTGAGGAAAGAAGACACTGTTGTTTTCTTTTTGTGGAACTGTAATGGTCTGTTAAGCAAAGGTATTTAATGTTTTTTTTGTTTGTTTTTTTTTGTATTTAATGTTTTAATACATAGTGTGAAAAATAAAGAGTGTCTTGGGAAATAGAGATGTGAAGACAAAGGAAAAATTCTGCAGATTAGGGAACTTTCTATGTTGCCCTAAAAGATTGTTGTGCACTTATCAGGCACAGTAAAAACTTACAAATATATCTCAACACTATCATTCTGGAGACTAAGGTGCGCCTGATCCAGATCACAGTCTTCATAATTACTTGCCATGCATCAGAAAGCTGGACAATGATTAGGGATGATAGAAGAATTGATGCCTTTGAGCTGTGGTGCTGGAGGAGAGTATTGAATATACCATGGACAGCTAGAAGAACAAACAGGTCTGTCCCAGAGAGGGTGAAACCAGACTGCTCCTTGGAGGCAAAGATTCTGAAGCTTTGTCTGACATACTTTGGGTATGTTGCAAGGAGGGAGCAGTCCTTGGAGAGGGACATCATGCTTGGGAGGGTGGAGGGACAGCACAAGAGAGGAGAGGAAGACCCTCGATGAGATGGATTGATTAAATGACTGGGATAATGGCAGTGGGTGTCTTGGAGACAATGAGGTTGGCACAGGATGGAGCAGGGTTCAGAGCTGTTGTACACAGGGTCACTATGAGTTGCAAGTGATTTGCCGACACTTAACAACAACCACATATTCTTGATAATCTTAGATATAAATTTTTATGTATGATAGGTAATTTGTAAAGATTTTGCCTTTCAAAATTCAACAACAAATATATGAAGAAGATGAAAGTAGGATTTTCAAAAGCCACTATCACCCTATTAGGCAGTAATTAAGTCCCATCATAGGTCTGTGTGACTACTAGTATGGATAAGGTAGAATTGAGATAGATTTTTTTATTGAAAACTTCAAAGTCCAGTATTGTTCATTATTTAACTTATATATCACTCTTGCCCATTAAGAAGACCATCTGAGCAACTGATATTTAAAAGAAGACAATACTTAGCAATGAGTATAGGACAGGGTTCTGATCTGTTGTTCCTATGGTCATTGTGAGTCGTACTTGACCTGATGGCACATAACAGCAACAACAACATGAATCACTAGGGAGGTAAGAACGTCTTACCTGCAGCAAAGGCATCAGCTGCAAACCCAGAGCTTGCTCATAGAGCAAGTTCAGCTCCGCACAACTGGAGAAGGAGAGTTTGGACGTATAGAGGTAATAGTGCACATGTCTAAATGTGGACCCGTCCCTGTCGATGAACAGCCGCTGGCTTTCCGAAGAGCTCAAGGTCAAAGCTTCTTTCCACAGCAGTGAGTCAGGGAATTGAGCAAGTTTGCTTCTGGGAACAGAGAAATGCCAGCCCCCAACATTGAAATGAAATAAATCGTCCGCTGGTTCATGAGGCATGCCAGGCTCCTCCTAAAGGGAGAAGAGGGAATTATTCAAAGACAAGGCGTCTAAATTGGAAAAGAGGAAGCAAGAGAAGTTCTATTTGCAGATGTCATGGTCTTATATACAGAGAATCTTAAAGACACCCCCCCCTCCGAAAAACCTACTGGAGAAAATAAACACATTCAGTCAAGCTGGCTGTTCAAACCATTCAGCAGCTCTGCTGAATGTAAAAGATCTAGAGGGCTACTTCTACAAAGATTTAAAAACCACACATTTATCCTGACTCTGCGACCTTACATCTGGTTTTGGAGGCTGTAAATCTGAATGGGAGGAGACTGCCTATCTTTCTCCTGTGGAGCTGCTGGTGGATTCCAATCTTTAGAAACGTGAGACAACATGCTATGAATTACAGCATCAGAACTCCTTATTACAGCCTAGAAAACCCCACGGGGCAGTTCTACTCTGTCACATACAGTTGCTGTGAGTAAAAAAAAAATTACTTAATGGCACTTAACAACCAACACAAAGTGTAGGTATATTGGTATTCACTATACAAGCCATTCAACCTTTCTTATTTAACAATTTGTATAAAATGTGTAAAAGAGGTAGCTGCGCCAGAGAAAAGTCAACTCCTCTAACACAAGCCTGCATCACCTTTTTGACAGCTGAGGAAGAAAAGAAGAAAAGGTATGTAACAAAGAAGAGGGTGGGTCCCCTTCTTTTATGGTAGTAAGCCTCGTCTAAATATTTAGTTAAAAAGAACAGCAATTATATAAGCCACCGTTAAGACAATAAAGGCTAAAAGGAGCACAAAGAGAAAGATTACAAATTGCAAAACGGTGTCATGACTCACAAAAGCAGAGCTGAAAAGCCCATCTAATGAGCTAATCTGGGCTTTTGAGTCCAGGTCCTTCTAAAATAACAAAAGCTGAACCTGAGGAGCTCAAGGTAAGGAAGGGCTCCGCCTAGGCAGGAATGTATAAAAACCACAAAGACACTTGATTCTGCTTTTTGTGCCGGGTGAACCAAGCGAGCCAGTAATTCTCTTTCCAGGTGACTTACTGGCTGAGAGCTCCGTGGAGGTGCACACAGCGTGCAGATTTTGGATGCCAGAGAAAATCTGCTCCCTGAAAGGTGAGCCCCAGCTGAGTCTTAGTCCTGCCTTTCTTATTAGGCACATGTGTGACAAGAAGCTCTAAGCTCGAGACTGTCTCTTGCAAAGAGACAGTTGGAATGAAGGATGTGGGTAATCAGCTCCGAATTATCCCAGCCTGGGGAGAGGCCTCAGTCAATCACAGTCAAGCTTCTGGGGTGAAGAAGGAAGTGTGTGTGAGATACTTGATGTATAAAAGGCTACTTGTCAGGCGGTCTTGAAGAAATGCGACAGCCGCAAAATCTCCACAAACATCATTCTTCTCAACCCTGACTAGTCTCCTCCAAAAGAGATTCTTCCAAATAAATCCCTACAGCTGGAACCGCCTCCTGGGGCCGATGGAACTTCCCATCATGCCCTGACGGCAGCCGCACCTCTTAGGGCTGGAGCGCTCCATGACGCCCTAGAACTGCCAGCACCCCAACCCCTCAGCTGTGGAGCCTCCCGCAACCTTGACGCAGAGACAGTATCCCGAGGCGCTAGGAACTGAAGACCACACGCCTCAGAGACCCTTCCTCATCGGCAAAGCTGGAGCTCTTCATCCCTCAGAGTTCACGCACTCCATTTCGACTCCTCAGAACCAGGCCCTTCAAAGCTAGCGCCGCCCCTCCAAGTGGATCAGAGCCAGGCTGCTAACCCCATAATTTCAGGCCAAAGCATCCCTCTATCTCCTTTCTTAGTGCTTGACGCCCCTGCCAGAGTGGACTCCATTCCATACCATATTCCAGGTTGCCGTGACAAGAGGGCAGGCGCGCGACCCTCGAGTAACGGACTTGGGGCCTGGGCAGCGGGGGCGGGGCCTGGAAGCGGGGCGTGGTCTAGAGAGTGGGGCGGACCTGTGTCTCGGGGGCGGAGCTTGTGTCGCAGGGGGCGGAGCCTGGGCTGCCGGGGCGGTGCCTATACCGTAGGGGCGGAGCCTGGTCACGGGGGCGGAGCTTGACGCTCGTGGCTCAGCCTCTCGAGCAGCGTCAGGTGAGCGGCAGGCGGGCGGGAATGGCTGAGCAGTGGGATCTGGACGAAGAGGTCGTCCGCCGTCTTGGGGCGCTGGCCCTGGAGCAGCCGGGTAGGGTCAGACTAGGAGGGTCGGGGCTGGGGGTGATGAGAGAAAACTGGGATGGAGGCAGGGAGGGAGACTGAGGCAGAGGAGGAGCGGAAGAGGGGTCATTGAGCCAGAAATGTTAGTTACCCTGAGGTGCAGGTGGAGGAACTACCTGGAGGATTTGGGCCAGAGGGTGAGGAGTTGAGGGCGAGAAAGAAAGTCTAAAGCAGAGGAGGAGGAACAAGATCAGAAGAGGAAACAAATAATGGGAAACTGAGGCAGAGAACGCAGAACCAGGTGGAGATGGTTCTGAACGAGTGGAGGGAAGCAGCCCAAATGAGGAGCATTGGTGAAAGAAGGGAAATGCTGACAGAGGCACTCGACGTGGAGGGGGCTGTTGGGGAGGCAAGAAAGGCCTTAATATTGAGTTTGTGAAACTTCCTCCCCTTTCGAGCTTTTCCTGCTCGGGGCAAGGATTTCTTCTTCGGCCCCTTTTCATCTTGTGTCCACTTCAATAGGATCGTGGTCATTCCTCTAATCTGTTGGTCTGTGTCGCTTCATTTTCGTTAGAAAAGAGCTGTGGTCAGAGTAGTAGTAGTGCAGGAGCAAGAAGTCTGATCGTTCAGTTTTAGACCAGTATTACAGGCCTCTGCCGAGTCCTAGATCAGCGCTTCAAACCCACCAGCTGCTCTGGGAAGACGGATGGGCATGTAGATTTGCAGTTTCAGAACATTATGAAGGGTAGCAATGATTTAGAATTAACTATATGGTCAGAGGCAGTAAAAAAGAAAAAAAAGGGAGGGTTTGTTTTGTATAATTAATATTATTGCCTCAGGCCCTGTGTTAAATGCTTTCTCTGCATGGTTTAATCCCTGTAACAAAGCTACTGGCCATTCCCAGTCAATGTACTGTTCTAGCTACTTAAAAATAATCTTCAGCAAGATTTTACTTGCATGTGATATTAATAATATTGATTGATAATTTTCATACTCTGTTGGATCACCTTTTTATGGATTGGGAACAAACACATAGATCTCTTTGAGTAGGTTGACTAGATAACTGTCTTCCAAATTTCCTCGCATAGACTGGTGATCACCTCCAGGGCTTCCTCTGTTTCCTGAAAGTCCCAATTGGTATTCCATCAGTTCCTGGATCTTTATTTCTTGCCCATGTCTGCAGTGAAGCATGAACTTCTTCCTTTATTAGTATTAGTTCTTGATCACATGCTACTTTCTGAAATGGTTCAGTGTCAACCAGTTCTTTTTGGTACAATGACTGTGAATTCCTTCCATTTTTATGAATGCTTCCTCCTTCATTCAAGATTTTGCCCATGGAATTCTTTAGTATTGCAACTCGAGGCTTGAATTTGTTCTCCAGTTCTTTCAGCTTGAGATATATGAAGTGTTTTTCCCACTCCAGTTTGTAACACATTTCATTATACTACTTTGCCTCCACCTAGTTCAAGAGTGACATTGTATGGATTTGTACTGCTGACCTCACCCTTGATCAGGTCTGACTCACGCAGCTATTAACACCTCAATAGGGAACAGCCAGAAATTCAAACTGGATTTAAAAGAGGCTGTAAAATGAAGACTATTATTGCTGATGTAAAAAGAATGTTGACTGAAAGCAAAGAATATTTAGTTGTATTTTCTTGTTTATGTAAAAGCATTTGACTCTGTGAATCATAACAAATTATGGCTAACATTGAAAAGAATGGGAACCCCTGAACAATTAACTGTGATCGTGGAAAACCTGTACATAGACCAAGAAGAAAGGAAAGAGAAACTGAACGATGGCTTGGGAAAGAGCATGACAGGGGAGATGAAAAAAGTAGAGTCAGGATAGATTTTGAGGAGCAGAAAAGTTAGAATTTATAAGAGATTTACAAGTTATGGATAAGGAAGGAAAGATTCAAGGTAACCCTTGTTTGAAATTGTCAATGACTTCATATCATTTGGATCTACAGTCAGTACTCTTGGTACTAGCAATCAGGAGATCAGGACACATATTGCACTTGGAAAGTCTGAAGTCAGAGACCTCTCCAAATTCTTGAGGAGCAGTGATGATAGTTTGAGGACTAAAGTGCACCTGATTCAGGCTATGGTCTTTTCAATCACTTGCTATGTATCTGAGAGCTAAACAGTGAATAAGGATGACAGAAGAAGAATTGATGCCTTTGAACTGTCATGTTGGAGAAGAGTACTGAATGTCCTGTCCCATGGACTGCCAAAAGAACAAAAAGATGTATCTTGGAAAGGGTGCAGCTAGAGTGCTCCTTGGAGCCAAAGGTGATAAAGCTTTGTCTCACATGCTTTTAGGCAGATTGCTAGGAGAGTCTGTTCCTTAGAAAGGCGGAGGGATGGAGAAAGAGAGGGAGACCCTCAACTAAGTGGATTGATACTGTAGCAATGATCTCGAATGGCACAGGATAGGACAGAGTTCAGATCTGTTGCTCATAAGGTTTTTATGAGTTGTACTCAATGGCACCTACCAACAAACAATCACAGCTGATCCTCTAGTGGGTTTTTAGAGGCTGTTAATTGCACAGAAGATGGCCCATCTTTCTTCCACAGAGCAATGGGGGGATCCAAGCTGCCTATCTTTGGGTTGACAGCATAACTTTTTTACCCATTACACACACCACCAGAGGTCCCTAAAGATCACTTTTACTCTTGGCTTAAATTCCTGTTGGGTATGGCATTTATTGAGAGACTGAGTAAAGATGGAGAGAAAAACAAGTTTGATGAGGGGGAATCAGATTTCTATTTTTAGCACGTTAAGTTTAAAATGTCCATTAGACGCCCAGGTGAGAGAGATTTTGTTGGCAGTTGGATATATGTATCTAGATCTCACGGGAAAGGTTAGGGGAAGGGGCCGTGCATCAAGGACATATATGGTCAACTGGGCTAAATGCTATTGACAGATTGAACCAGTTAAGGGCAGAAAAGTGTCTTGTTAGATTTGGCAAATAGAAATCCTTGGTGACCCACTGGGAATAGTAAGGATGAGGGAAACTAGACTGGAGTGGGATGAATAATGAGATAGAAGGGAAATGGGATGGAAAGGGTAAGTACCTCTATTGAGAAACTTGGCTATAAAATAGAGAAGTGGAAAGTTTTTGATGTGGGGTTAAGAAGAGTTAAGGTTGTCTGTTTTTTACAGAGAGGATGCCCTAGTGTATGTTTATAGGTTGATAATAGCCATTAGAATGGGGGAAAACACATATGTATACTGTTCATTTTTTTGCAGTCACTGTTATCAATATCTGGGGTAGATTTCCAGAAATATTCTCTACATATATCGCAAACTCTCCAATTTATTGAGGAGCAATGGTGCCAATATGAGGATTAAAGTGCACCCAATCCAGGCCGTGATCTTTTAGGTAACTTGCTATGCATCTGAGAGCTGGACAGTGAATAAAGATGAAAGAATAAGAATTGATGCCTTTGAACTCTGGTGTTGGAGGACAGTATGCCAATAAAGAACAAATAGGTATATCTTGGAGAAGGTGCAGCCAGAATGCTCCTTGGAGGCAAAGATGATAAAGCTTCTGCTCTTATGCTTTGGGCATGTTGCTAGGAGAGAGGAGAGGCTATTCATTGGAGAGGGACGTCATGCTTGGGCAGATGGAGGGACGGTGAAGGAGAGGAAGACCCTCAACCACGTGGATTGACTCAGTGACTGCACCAATGGCCTAAAGAGTTGTCAGAGATTGTGACGATGGCAGAGAATAGGACAAGGTTCAGATCTATTGTCATAGGGTCACTATACTCAAGACACTTAATAACAATAATACCTATAAGGCCACCTCAGCAATGGATGCTGAATTTTGTTTTCAGACTTTTTGGAGGATTTCACTATATTAAATCTGATCTTAAGAATCTTGATTGTAGAGTGTTTCACATGGGGTGTGGGAGGACAACAGGGCTGTTTTCACTGACTAAGCTGCTTGTTCAAGCAGAGATCTTAATATATGCACTGATGATCTCTTTTCAGAACTGGTGGAGTCTCTTTCATTGCAGGGATCTTACGCTGGAAAAATCCATTCCATTGGAGATGCTTTCAAAAATTTTAAAAACCTCCGCTCCTTAGATCTATCAAGGAATTTGATCACTAGCTTAAAGGTAAGTTCTGTATTCCATGACCAGCCAGGTCAGCCCAATATATTTTATGGGAAGAAATAAGAACTTGATAATGTCATTTTGGAGAATGTAGAATTTTCCTTTTAAATACTCCCAAATAAAACTTTATTAGTCACTGTAAATTTTTTTTTCAACTCTGTTTTATTTTGATAATTTTCATTAGAAAGTACTGGGAGGAAATTTCCTTTTGTACTCAAAGAGAACGGTGTTAAGCTGTTGTTGCCTAAGACAGTAGCATAGATTGTGTATAAGAAAATATGAGGAGCTCTGGTGGCCTAGTGGTAAGGAGCTGCAACTACAATCTCAGAGGCACATGGTTTGAATCCACCAGATGCTCTGCCGGAGCATCTGTACCAGTCAGATCTGATTTGACGGTACACTCACACAAAAATAATAAAATAAAAATTAAAAAGAAAAGAAAATATGAAGAGAGTCTGTGAAAGTACAGATTCTTACCCTGAGAGATTCTGATTAACTAGATATGGTGTTTTTCTCTAAATTGAGAAGGAAATGATGGTCTTCAAAACAAAGATTCCAGGTCAGGGCATGGTGGAGCAGGAGAGAGCAGGACTGCGTGAGATAGAGTGGAAGAATGAGCTGATATCCACCAAGAGCTCAGTAAACATAAATGCACACACACAGATGGAACTTTCTTTTGTGTGTTGTAGACCCCTACATGTGGTTTCTTCTAGGTGTTCCCTAAAACACCTAGGGATCACCTAGCTGATCAAATCAGCTTAGATCAAATCTTTCCTAGATCACCTAGTGATCAAATCAGCTATGTACCTGTCTTGATGAAGCCTTTCTCTGCAAGGCTCAGGGTAGAAAACTCACCTAGGATTCATTAATCTCCTGGGTTATTCTGCCAATTTTTAATTTCTTCAAGGACATTTTCTCAAATAATATAAATTTAGGAGCCTTAATCTATGGTGTAAGTAGACTATCAAAGATAGCCAAAATGTGCAACTAGGAGAGGGTGAAATAGATGAAAAAGACTGTCTAAAATTTAAGTCCACATATACATTAAAAAAAAATCTGCAAAGTGTGAAAGGAGCCTACAGACTTGGAAAATTATTTGGCAATTACATATCAGATAAGGGGTTCATATGTAAAATTTATTGAAAACTCCAGCAATTTGGGGGGAACAACCCAATTACAAAATGGGCAGAAGATATGAAAAGACTCTTCGCCAAGAAGGCATTCAGATGGTCAACAGACACATGAAGAAATGTTCAAGATCCTAAGTAGTACTCATAGAAACCCTGTGATCAACAGATCTGAACCGTGTCCTATCTGTGCCGTCCTCACAGTCTCTGATGTACTTGAGCCCATTGCTGCCAATTACTGTGTCAATCAACCTGATTGAGGGTCTTCACCATCCCTCCACTTGCCCAAGCATGATTTCCCTCCCCAATGAATAGCTTCTCCTAGCAACATGCCCAAAATATATGAGATAAAGCTTTATCATCTTTGCTTCCAAGAAGCCCTCTGGCTGCACCCTGGCTGTTAAGAGAGATCCATATCTAAACAACAATGAGATATTACCTCATCCTAGCAACAATAGCAATGTTCAAAAGCACACAATAAATGCTGGCCAGGGCACAGTGAGATTGGAACTCTCATATGCTGCTGGTGAGAATGTAAAAGGTGCAGCCACTAAGGAAAGCAGTTTCAACTTAGAAAGTTGAAAATAGAAGCACCATTTGATTCAACTATTCCACTACTAGGAAAATGCCTTAAAGAAATAAGAACTGTGACACGAACAGGTATATGCATATCTACATATAGCGTAGTGTTTATTCACAATAGCAGAGATGGAAACAACCCAGGTCATGGTCTGGGTGGACAAACTGTGGTACACTCACACAATGGTATACCATTGAGCAGCATTAAAAAACAGTGAACTTAAGAGACACTACAAAACATGGATGAGTCCAGAGGACACAGAACAAATACTGTATATGACCATTATTACGAGAACAGTTAGCAAAACACTAGAGAGAGATTTACCTTCAGAGAGAATTAACCATGGCGTGAGGACGAAGTAAAAATGAACTGATAGACAAGGAATACTTATTAAGATGGGTAAAGAGAAAGGCAGTGTGGAATGAACAGACCCTCAAACATTGTTTATAATGTTATGGAACAAAATGTGTATAAATGATTGTAAACTTTCACTCAAACCAGAATTTTTTAAAAAAAATTAAAACTCCCCAAATCAGATGAAATTTTGTGGTCTAAAACTAAGAACCTCAAAAAAGAAAGCCAAAAGAAAAATGAGCATTAGGACAGGAAAAAAAGGAAAAAGAAAGCCCAAGCAAGACGAAATCTACAGCTGAGCCTCACTTCTTGTTGTTATGTCCCCTCGAAACTGAAGCAACTCAGAGCTGACACTCTATCAGGTTTTCAGAAGCTGTGAGTCACCCAGGAGGAGATTGCCTATCTTTCTCCCGCAGAGTGGCTGGTGGATTCAAACCGTCCAACTTTGGATTGGCTGTACATCTCCATACCACTAGACTATCAGTACTCCTTTAGAACACTTTAAAAGTAGTGACTCCAAGTTGAAGTTAGCCTTTAGAGTATTTTTTAACTGCTATTTGTATTTGATCCATCAGTCTCAGAAAGTTTTTGTTTAGAGTTCCTTCGATCTCCTCTGTGCATCTGTACATGAGCCTTTGAGAACCCTCAGTGGGTGTCAGTTAATCTCATACTTTACTCTTCTCAGACCTGTCCCTTTCTGTACTGTTGTTCTCTGCTCTACCTTCTCCTAACCTGGGATTTTCCTTTGTTCTAAAGATTACCATTTCCTCCTTAGAAAAAGCTTCCCAATATTTGTTTATCTGTTTTTCTTTTTCAGGCTGAAATCTTAAGTGAACACTGGTGGAATTTGTTGCTATTCTCTTTCTTTCTTCTTTAAATTAGATGAACCACTGTCATGAAAGTGAATCATGTTAGCACAAATAATCAAATAGAGCAACACCTAACAGTGCTACTCCCGCGACTGTCCCCCAGGAAACGCTCACTAAGTGTACTTGTTTTCTCCTAACACAATTGTGGGGAGCTCTGGTGGCCTAATGGCAAGAAGCTGCACTGCAATTCTGACGGCTCCTGGTTTGAATCCACCAGCTACTCCACAGAAGAAAGATGGGCACTGTCTTCTTGTGCAATTAACTGCCTCTGTAAACCCGCTGGAGGGTCCGCTATGTCCTGACTTGCAACCCATTTGTAGTTTGCATCTGTGGTTTGTCTGCCTACATGCAGCTCTCAATCACTTTGCTTAATTTTTTTGGGAGTGGGGAGAGAATATTTTCTAATTACTGCTGCTGTAACTTTGACATGAGTTAGTATCAAGTGGGATGAGTGAGAGGAGGATAGAAATGGTTCCCTTGACTTTTACAGTGAGAGACATGGAATGATTACTTGAGCTGAGACATTAGACCCTTTTAAAAGTGGTCCTTATGGTCTAATTTCCTGAGGGTGGGCCTTAAAGCAATGATAATGAATTCTACCCACTGATCCTTTAGCCAGAGAGAAATTCAGACCTGGGAAGAAATGCATCATAGTGTAAGACAGGGAGCTATTCGGAAATATTTTATACCTATCTTTGCATTTTCTAAATTTCCTGAAATGTTAGGATGGTAATTTTAAATGAGAATAAAATCATTAAGTTACAAATTCTTGATGGAAAATGTTCTCTTAAGTAAAAAAGATGGAATTCTTTTTATGGTATTTTAATAAAAATGTGATTATACATGTATATACTTATTTTGAAGTATTGTTCTGAACTTTAAAGTTGAGCAAAAGCAGCTAATAAAATACCAAACTGAAGTAATTTTAACTGTCTAAAAAATTTCAGTAGCAGGTTTTAGTACAGGAGGAAGATTGTAGGTTTTTGGTTTGAGTTTCTCTTGGATTTTTCTAGTTACGTGGTTGTTATATGCTGTTGAGTGGGAGCTGATTCACAGCTGACCCTCCAGCAGGTTTTCAGAAGCTGTGACTAGCCTGGGAGGAGATGGCCCACCATTCTCCCTCATAGCAGCTGGTAGATTAGAACCACATGACTTGGAGTTGGCAGTGCAGCTCTTTACCCACTAAGCAATCAAAATACTATTAAACGTAATGTGTGTGGATGATTGAAAAGCCAGTACAATTTGTAAAATGTCGCTCAAAATGAACAAAAATATCAAGAATGTCACGCGCGTGCGCGCGTACACACACACACACACACACACACACACAGATCTGAATAAGGAGTATAATTTTTACCAAAGGAGATAAAGAACATTAACTCTGAAAATGGAAACAAGGACAAGAAAAGATCCCAGACTCGTCCTGGAGAGAGGGATTGGAGATCTCATTCTCTTGTTTCCCCAGCGCCCATTGATCCTTTGACTCGGACTCATGAGAATCTTAGGCAGTCAGACACTCACATACACGTAATTTTTTAAAGCATTTCTTTCTTTTTCAAAATCCATTTTAAATTATAATTTTTAATTATAATTTTAAATTATAATTTTTCAGTGTATGTTTGCAAATCTAAAAAGTTTTCTTCAAAAGGAAGGATCTGCTTGTCTTTCTACCTCTCTTTCTGTAGTAAAATGAGGTGCTGTGGAATTGGTAGAGTGGTTGATGGCAAGGAGGAGAGAAATGCAAAAGACCCTCTAACCTGGCTCCAGCTGGGAAGGGTTGCATCCGGGAGTGAGAGACGAGAGAGACATAGGAAACTGAGCACAGAATATCCCATGGAATGCCAAAAAACCAAACAACCGTGTACTGGAGAAAGTGCAACCAGGATGCTTTTTGAAGCTTCCTCTCACATACTTTGGGTATCTTTTTATGACGGACTAGTCCTTGGAAAAGGATGTCATGCTTGGAAAAGTGGAGAGTCAGTGAAAGAGAGGAAGACTAACTGGATTGACACAGTGACTGTTAACAGCGGGGTCGAGTATAGCAGAGGTGTTGAGGATGGCACAGGCTAGAGCAGGCTTGCTGTGGTTGCGGTTGACTTGATGGCACCTAACAACATTTGTATACTAGATTTTTGTAAAGGAAGAAATGTATCATCTATGTGAATGACTTAATTTTTGAAACACCTAGTGCCTGTGAATGGCAATGCTCTGATTCTCTGAGAACTGAATGTGTCTCAGCCCTAAGAACTAGGATGACATATTTAAGGAAGAGAAGTAATATGTACAGTGCCACCTTTTTCTCTGTTTCTCACTCCTTACTAATGAGCTATTTTATAATGTTGTCTTTTCCTTGCAGGGTATCCAGTATTTATCCTCACTCCAAGACTTGAATTTATATTATAACAACATTCCTTCATTAGTGGAGGTGTCCCGCCTCCAGCCTCTACCCTTCCTCAAAGAACTCGATTTGAGACTCAATCCTGTTGTCAGGAAAGATACAGATTATAGGCTCTTTGCTGTGTATACGCTACAAACGCTGGAAAAACTGGGTGAGACCCTCCTCCCCTGTCCTTGCCCTTAGAATCTTACTTAAATCAGCTGCCTCCTAACTTTTTTGGCTGTAGACCCAGAGTAACACTGGCAGGGAATATATTTTTATTTGTCCACATTTATGTAACTCTTCTGTGCTGCCAGCATGTATGGCAAATCAATCTTATTTGGTTTATTAAAGGGTAATCTATTATTTTATCAGTTACTCCCAGCTTTTGTTTTCTTCAGCTGACCATTTGCCAAAACATCTCCTCCCCAACACAATTGCTTCTAGGTTGAGATTTATTTTTCCAGGTGTCCCAATCCAGCAATTGTATTAGCAACAGAAAACTAATACCACTTTTCAGGACTTCATTGGGAAGGAACACTAAAGATCCTTGCAAATGAACTGGTCTGAACTACCTTATAATTTTATTGCTGAGTGTACACTTCTTATTGATACAAAATTCTGTTTTCATATTTCCCCTGGGGATCTTAGTGCCTTGACAGTCATAAAAGGAAACCAGACTCAGAAAAGGGTCTGACTTGAGCCTTTCCATTAAGACCCATTTGGGTTATTTACTGTTTGAGCTCTACTTTCCTGAAGCCATTGTTTTCCGTGGTGCTTGTTGCTATGGCATCCCTTGTAGTCTCCCTGGGTTACCTGTTTGTTCCAGTGACAACATAGTGGCATTATTCTGTGACTTCTCAAATGAAAGAAAATGAGTCTGGTGCTTGGTTTGTACTGTGTGAATCTGACTTTCTGACCCACTGCTGTTTATTTAAAAAAGAAAAGAGACATGCTCAGGTCCCTGTGTTTGCCCCCAGATGACCGGACTGTACGTGACAGTGAGAGAAAAGCCGCCAAACTGCATTTCAGTCAATTGGGCAACAGTGAAAATTTTCTATTAGAGGTGGAAAAAAGGTAAGATTCTCAAATCTATATTGTGGTTATTATTTTAGTTTGGTTCTCAACACGAAGAATTCTCTTTAACTCCCTATTACTATATCCTTAGATCAGGAATAAAAGTGCTTGTCTAGCATATTGAGACTCAATCTGGAATAAAAATGGGGCCCTCTGTGCATACATTCCTGCTTTTTTTAACTATTGGATCTACTTTGAGTATAATTAGAAGCAAAATAATACAGTGTACAGTGTTTTGTACCTGGACTCTTTTATTTAGCGAATACATTGAGAGTCATCTGTATTATATATATTACTGGTATCAGAGTTCATTTCCTCGTAATCATATAGTATTCTACTATATGAATGTGTCACAGGAAGTTTAACTGTTCGCAGATTGATGGCTATTTGGATTACTTTCCATTTTAGTTGATTATAAGCAGCTGAATTTTTTGCAATAGACAGAATTGAGTGTTTTAAAAAAGTATCAGGGAGGGAGGAAATTGTGCAACAATGAAAGAATCTTTTTAAAGAGAAAAGCGAACTGGGGGGGGGTTAAGGAGGAAAATGTGCAACAATGAATGAAAGGAAATCCAAGTTGTCTGTAAACTTTCATTAAAAATATCAATTAAAAATTCAGAATTATTGAAAAAACATATCTGTATATGTATTTTACAAAGTAATTCCTCTTCTGAGTGCATGAATGTGTTTACAGTAGAAATACAGGAATGAGTTGGTGCATAACGAATAAACTTACTAGGAAGGCAGATTATGAACTCCATCTTTAGCATGTTATTTTTAAAAAAATCCTTTTAGTTATATATAAAACCTCACTGCTTTGCTAGAGTTATTGGTTTCAGACAGGAGCCAAGGGCAGAGTCTTTTTGGTCTGTTGGCCTCTGGGGGAAAACCAGTTCAATTGGAAGAGACTTCTGTAGGGAAAAAACCAAACCTCACTGCTGTCAAGTTAGTTTTGACTCATAATGACCCTACAGGACAAAGTGCACCAGCCCCATAGGCTTCCCGAGGCTGTAAATCTTTATGGAAGTAGACTGTGACATCTTTCTACCATGGCACACCTGGCGAATTCTAACTGCCTATCTTTTTGTTAGTTGTTGTTGTTGTTGTTATGTGCTGTCGAGTCGTTTGCGACTCATAGCGACCCTATGTACAACAGCCCTAAACCGTGCTCTATCCTGTGCCAATCTCACTGCCTCTGACACACCCATCCCGAGTACCCCAGTCACTGAATCAATCCACCTCATAGAGGGTCTTCCCCTCCTGCACTGTCCCTCTACTCTACCCAGCATGATGTCCCTCTCCAAAGACCTGTCTCTCCTTACAACATGTCCAAAGTATGTCAGGCGAAGCCCCAGAATCCTTGCCTCCAAGAAGCAGCCTGGTTTAACCCTCTCTATGATGAATCTGTTTGTTTTCTTGGCAGTCCATGGTACATTCAATACTCTTCTCCAGCACCACAGCTCAAAGGCGTCAATTCTCCTTCTATCCTCCCTAGTCATTGTCCAACTCTCTGATGCATAACAAGTGATTTTGTTAGTAGCAGAGTGTTTAACCATAGTGTCACTAGGCACTCCAAGTTACCATATAGTGATTGAAAAAAAAAAGACCACCCCAAACCCCATTGACATGGAGTGGCTTCTGCCCCATAGCGACCCTGCAGGAGAGAGTTCAACTGCTCCACAGAGCTTCCAAGGCTGTAATCGTTGTGAAAGCAGACTGGACTGCCAGCAGTGTCGGCAGAACCAGAGGTAAAAGGTGACTCGTGTACCCAGGATTATCGCTAATAGCATACAAGTTCTTGGAATCTTGAGGGAGGATTTAAAAAAAAAAAAAGTCTTCCAATTTCCCAGTTTCATCACTTCTAAGTGGAGATAAGAGCGAAGGAAGGCATGTTAGTTTATGATGAGATGAAGTCGTGGATGTGCTGTGCCCGGAACTTAGACTAAATTGTACCTACCACCCGCAAGGTAGTTACATCAGTCAAGTGCACACACCGTTGCCTGTCTTTGTTGGTTTTTCTAAGCAATGGTTACCATTTTCTCTATTGTAATTCTTGGCAGCAATATTTCCATTCCTGTGCTCTAGTTATGAGTTTTTAAATTCCTAAGTAGGCATCTTAATCCCTTACACATTTAAACTTAAATTTGTGTCAAAAGAACAAGGTGGCTTAAGTTTGGAAGTCTTTCATGTTATAAAGGTTAAATGATAGTGCCCTTTTTCTTGTGATTTTTAGTAAAAATATTTTTTTTCCATTAGGACAAATCTTTTTTCTGGAGCATTTGGGAGGAAAAAAAAATCCAATCACTGTAAATTAAGTTTTTAAAATAACATTTACTGATAGTTTTATAAATCATCATCTGCCTAATTTTATTAACTTATTCGTTAATAAGTTATGTGGCAACCCCAGGGAGAAGACAATGAAGAATTGTGTGACAAATGAGAGAGTCACATCCAAGGTCATTTCTGATGCTGATAACAGGATTGAAACTGGTAAGTTTTCCCTCCAGGATTATAAGATGATTAAAACATGAGTAATTTCACCTTTTGCGGTGAATCGTGGGTAAGAGAAAAGAAATAGAACAGAGCCATAACAGATTGGAAGCATGCACAGATTTGGTGGCTGTATTTTTCCTCCTCCTCCTTCACAGCCAGAAGGACCCTGTTGATTCGGCCTGACCTAAAAACCAGCGAAGCACAGGCTGTTCTCAGAGAATTCCATTGCATTGCTATCACTTGCCATCATTAGTGCACACTGAGAATGGCATTACCTTAGAGAATAGGTGCTACATATTGCTAAGGTGACGAACTTGTTAATCAAAAGCTGTCTCCTCCCTGGCAGCTCCCACCCTGGGTCTTCTAAGCTTCTCCACCAAACGTTTGGCAGTTGCAGAATCTCTGGTGTTTGTGCTAGATCTCTGGGGAGTGTTGCCTGGAGGCACTGCTGGTAATCCAAGATGATTAAAGTGGCTATGCCGCATTAATGGTTGCGTCACAGGCTAGGGGAATGCTTTCCGCATTTGGAAGCTGACTTCCAATGTAGTCATTTCAATTTTTTTATTTGCATATAATCATTCATATTCATTATATTTTATACAACTAATTACAATTACTCTGTACCTGTTATCATCCTGTCTTTTCAAGTCCCCTTTGCATCTTTTCCATAACTTCATCCCCATCCACACACCAATCTCTGCTATCTCCGTGACTTCTCCCTTCCCTCTTTTTGCCCCTCTTCTATCCTTGCCCTTTTGATCATTTATCCTTATCTTGCTCCATTGTCCTCCTATTTTGACAGTAGTGACCTGATGTGATATTTGTTCTTAGGTGGCTCAGTTATTTCACTCAGCATAGTGCTCTCTAGACTCTCCCAAGTTATGTTTTACAAAATCATTGTTCCTTAGTGCCGTGTAGTATTCCATCCTGTGAATGTACCACAATTTCTCAATCCGTTCATTGTTGATAGGCACTTGGGCTGTTTCCATTTTCTTGCTATTGTGAATAACGCTGCTATGAACGTAGGTGTACACACGGCCAATGGACTGCTGTGGGCAATGTCAGATTACCCAAGCACCAAGGTGAGCACAGGTTTACTTGCTAATCTGTAGTGAACAATAGCGTGTGTTCATCACAGCAAAGATTTTGCTTCTGGGTGTAACTGGCATTTGTCTCTTTCCCGATCCCCTGTCACTTTCCGACAGAATCTAAAGCCTCTCTTCAAATTTACAATCCTTGACAGGGATAGAGCACCAGTAGGCATGGAAACATGGGTTTACTGACTACTATGTAATGAGCTATGTAAAAAATAGATTTGTCCTGGAGAGGGTTAAACCGGGTGGCTCCTTGGAGGCAAGGATTCTGAGGCTCCGTCTAACTTACTTCGGACATGTAGTGAGGAGAGACCGGTCCTTGGAGAGGGACATCATGCTTGGGAGGGTGGAGGGACGGCGCAGGAGAGGAAGGCCCTCTCTGAGGTGGATTGATTCAGTGACTGGGAAAATTGGGATGGGAGTGTCAGAGACAGTGCGATTGGCACAGGACAGAGCGGAGTTTAGGGCTGTTGTACATAGGGTCGCTATGAGTCGCAGGCGACTCGACGGCACATAACAACAACAACAACAACATGTAATGAGCAGGCTCACAGGTTTTCCCATCACATTTGTAGTGAACAGTTTCAAATAATATTCACCACATGAATGATGTGATAATTTTTTGTTTGATGTAGTGGAAGACACATTGAATTGTTCTCTATAGTTTAGTAAGTCAGCACAAGTAAACCTAAATTTGCCTTGCTTTTTAAATACTTTGTTCCTCATTATGGTTTATCTTGACACTCTTTGATCAAAGATAAGTCCAATGACCTTTTACATGGGAAAATGTTCTTCTATCTCAAGGTCCCTTTGAAGGAGTTACTGAATTATATATAGATTGTAAAAAAGATCGTTCTAAAATATCAGCAAATAACTTTAATACATTGAATATCCTTTTTAGACATTAAGGGTTCCCAGTTTATTCTAAGGTATAGTATTTTCTTCTTCTTTTTAAAAAATAATTGAATCCAATTCATTATGTTGATATCTGAAGCAATTACTAAAAGTCCTTGGCAATTTTTTTAGCTCTTGTCCTTTTCAGATACTACTATATATAAGGAAATTTCTAGTATTATTCACTTAAGTAATTTATTTTCTTGACTTCTTATATAGCTATATGACAAGTCATTTCACACTGACATTAACAAGTTGTAGGAAGCTCTGGTTCTTACTTTCCTTTCTTAGAGTCTTAATGCATGTGAGTCATGGAAGCGTGGATTGCTTGATTTCACCTTAAAAACAGAATATTTTATGTTTCAAAGTTGAGACAATTTTATTGTTAGAAATTTGTATAATACTGAAAAACATAAAGAATGACATTTTAATCATAAGCTATCCCTCTAAGGAGAACCACAGTTAATGTTTTATTATTTGTTTTTCCAGTCTATTTTCTAGGTGCTAACCTCAAACTAAGTATATTCTGACTCACAGTGACCATTCGGACAGAGTAGACAGGGTTTCCAAGGCTGTGTCCTTACAAGCACCTGTATGTCTACTTCCAGACAAAGAGTAATACATTGACGCGTAATTTGATTACCTTTTTTGTCGGAATGGAATTCAGCTTTATTTGTGTCACATTATACAATTAGCACACAAAAAGATTCACTCCATGAGCTAAAATGTTTTGAAAGGAACAATCTCAGATTGTTCACAATCCAAACAGCCTGCTTCACTCAATAGAGGCCCGTTTATTTTGTAAAGTTCCTCAGAAACTCCAGCTGTTGCTTGGATTATAGATATAAATTTTATTTTGCTACTTTGAAAGGTTAAGCAGTGTTTCTTTTCTACTGAAAATTGTTTGTGCTGGACCCCTAGGGAGTGTTGCCTGTAAGCACTCCTGGTAATCCAATATGATTACAGCGTTTAGGCCTCCTTGACGGTCACGCTGCAGGCTCCGAGAAAAGTTTCTGGAGAACAACTCCTACTAGCTCAGTTCAAAATAAAGCTTTCTCTGTAGGACCATAGTCGCTTGGGACAACTTAGTCAACTGACAGAAAAAGGTTCACAAAAATCGTGATCTACTTCCTTGTGGAATGAATATCCTCGAACATCTTAAAAACTTGTGAATGACCACCAAAGATCAGCCATGAGTGTCAACTTGTGTGAGGAGCAAAACAGTAAAAAAGTAGCCATAAACTCAGAGAAGAAACATGTCTACATAAGTCACAAAAATTATCTACCCTGGACCAGAAGAATTACATGGTACCTGATTGTTCTGACCAGGATCTCAGTACTCGGTCTCAGACAAAACAGGAAAAAAATGTGGAGCCAAATAAAAATTCTTATTAAAAAAATAGCTAGACAACTGGAATAGCAGAAGACAGAGCACTCCCTCTAACATACTCTTCAAACCTAGAACTGAACCTATGCATCAGAGAGCTGGGCAATGACTCAGGATGATAGAATAGAATCAATACCTTTGAGTTGTGGTGCTGGAGAAGAGTATTGAACGTACCACAGACTGTCAAGGGAACAAACAGGTCTGTTCTGGAGAGGGTGAAGCCAACTTGCTCTCTGGAGGTGAAGATTTTGAAGCTCCATTTCACATACTTTGGGCCTATTGTCAGGAGGGACCAGTCATTGGAGAAAGACATCATGCTTGGAAAGGTGGAGGGACAACACAGATGCAGGGTTTTTTTGTTGAATCCTTGGGGTTTTCTGTGTACACTATCATATTGTCTGCATATCAGAACAGTTTTACCACCTCTTTGCCAATATAGGTGCCTCATATTGCCTTAGCAAGTACTTCCAATACAATACTGAATAGGAGTGGTGAGAATGGGCATCCTTGTTTGGTTCCTGTTCACAGGGCAATGGCTTTAGTCATTTTTCATTGAGAATAATGTTGGCTCTTGGTTTTTTGTATATGTTTTCTACCATGTTCAATACATTTCCGTCTATTCCTATTTTGCTGAATGTTTTAGTCAGGAAGGGGTATTAGATTTTGTCAATTGCCTTTTCTATACCAATTGATAGGATCATAGGATTCTTTTTATTTTTTTCATGTGATTAATTTCATTGATTTTCTTATGTTGAACCATCCTTGCAATATCAATCAGAATATAGCTTTTCTTAATATTCCAGTATTATCGATTTGATTTCATCTGGTTCTCTTGTGATGCCACCTCCATAATTTCTTATTTGAATTATTTGTGTCGTTCTTTTCTTTTGTCAAGTTTGCCAGTGGTTTGACTATTTTATTGACCCTTTCAGAGAACCAGCTCCTGGTCTTGTTGATAATTGTTTTTCTGTTTTCTAGCTCATTGATTTTAGCTGTTGTCCTTAGAATTTCCTTTCTTCCAGAGGGTGTGGGGTTAGATTGGTTGGTTGGTTTGTTTTTCTATTTGATGGAGGTGTTGAATTAGGTCATTAATTGTGCTTCTTTCTTCATTTTTTATGTGTCACCTGTGACTCTGAGAGGAGAAGCTGGGAAATCTTCCAAGAATTTTACTGGCTCCAAAAACTCTCTGGAGAGTCAACTCTGAGTTGGCTCTAACTTGATGGCAGTGAATTGAGTTGAACTGAGACTAGCTTCTTCAGAGGCAAGCTTGACAGCTATTATTAACTGAGTCTAAACCCTAGGCCTGGCATTCTTCATTATTTCTCTAATTTTCCAAGCAGTTTGAAGATAGTGGTTAATTATTCTTATTTTACAGGTAAGAAAATGGAAACCTAAAGAAGTAAATAACTTGTTTTAGTTACACAGTAAATTGCAGAGCTTAGTTGCAAACCCTGTCTTATGTGTCTGCCATTAATGAGTGACCTTCCAACCTTTACATGGTGCTGCCTTCAGCTATTCTTCATGCAATTCATTTTGTAATTTGTAGGCAGATAAATTACCTTAAAAAAGTATGGCTATTATAACTAATGATAATTCCCTGAAGAAAACCTTCCATTTCCCAC